CCGCTGCGTATTATGATCTTCTAGTATTTGTTCATATACAAAGGTTATTCCTCTTTATATCCCCATCAATAAATGGATTCCTGAATTTGCATATCAAACTTTATATTTTTTTCATTTTCTTTATAAATCATTTAGAGTAACCCATATAAAGCTAGATCTTTTAAAAAAATATTTTCATATCATTATAATATAACTTAAACTCATAATGAATCATTAATGTCATGATGATTCTTAACGAGTTCATTAAAAATCTCATTATGATCGATACATTCTTTATGAGTAAAACTTTTAACCACAAGTCTTACAATTATATCGTTTGACATTGTCCTTTGAGTCACATTTATATAATAGACTCTTTTACAATTATTGGACAATTCGATAAATTTATCAGACACCATTCTGGTTATTAATTTTAACTCTTCTTTTATTGCATCATATTACTTTTCAGAATCATTACTTTTCATGACCCGTGACAAAAATAAGGGATCCATTCTGATTCCTATATCATAATATAATTCTTGTAGATATACAACATAATAACCATAAATGACATGATTCCTTCCCCTTTGAGATATTATCAAAGTTATCAATTATGGTTGTTCTACAAGACCATTAACAACGATATCAATATAATGTAGGAGTTTAATAATGTTATTTTGTTGTTCATTTTCATCAAATCATTTAATAATTTGAGTAACAATAATCTCTCGAATAATAAAGGAGTATTAACTTGTATCTCCTTTATATCAAAATTAAATTTCGAGATTTTCACTCCCATTGATTTGCTATTTTATAGGAATCTTATGTTACCAAATTTAATTGTCCTCGTACTATGATTAGAGCAATAAAATATGTACCCCTTTTAAACTTTTCTGAATAGATAATAAAATATTCAGAAATAATTATTAAATTTAATTTTCTTTTATGTAAGTTGAAGATCCTTATCTCCATAGGACAATCTCAAATATATAAATATCTTAAGTTCAGTTTCCTATTATTTCATAACTTAAAAGAAGTCATGTAATTTACTTACTAGGAACACCATTCAAGATATACATAGTTGTCCGGAGCTTCTTCTCACATTGATTTAGATACAAAAGAATAACTTATCATTGCTCTTAACCATATCTATAAGGTACGATGACATCTTTTAGCAATCATATTCTGCTGTAACACATCTGGTAAATCATATACCTTATTTTCTAAGAATCTAGCAAAAGAATTAGGTTCATCATAAATACCATAAAATTTATCAACTTTGTCAGATATGATGATTTTGACTTTTCTATCTAATTGTTTATCAACTTCATTTATATACACTTCAAGAGTGTAAACGATCATAGACTTTACATGAATTAGATATATATAATCATATCTCAATATATTATTTATATGATGATAAAATGTCTCTCTTTAATGAGACAAAAGCATAGAGTGATAAACATAACCTCAAGGAGTTTATAAAACTATATTTCACTTCAATATTTAATTATAGGATCATTGTAAACTTATGATTCATATTACTTCTGCATAGACTATTATACAGAATTCAAATGTTAATTTTATTGAATCACAATAAGTTTATAACCACCAAAAGGGAAATAATATTTTAATAATTCTAGGTAAAGAACTCAAATTCCCAGAATTATAAGAAGCATGGATCCTCAAGATTTATCAAATTGAATCATCTATAGATATAAGTAATAAATACAAACTAATATCGCTTTTACTTTAAGATGATTCCCTACATTGATAAATATCTCATTCTCTTTTGGTTTTATCCCTCTTATTTTTTTCTTATTTTAATAAAAATATCTATTATTGGTAACATATGATGAAGCATTAAATTAATCCATCAATAATATCCGTAATATTTGATTTGAACCATACAAAGGTTATAATTATACCTTTTTCATTTCAAATCAAATCTTATAATATATTTCTTCTTCACATAACTTTATTTGCTACAAAATTAACACTTTATTGTGAAGATATTCTTTTATGAGTTTATATAATAATTATAAACTCAGGTGAAATTACGCTTCATCCTTATTTTAGTGTTACCTACTCCTTGAGTAGTACTCAAAATATTATGAGTCTTGAGCTTACAGCTTTATCATTTATTTTGAGGATATAATCTTAAATTCCTCAAATACTATCATAGTAAAGTATCAACTAATGACTTATCAGATAATTTAAATTGATCCTTAGATATTCTCAAGCGCTAGTTGTAAACTGTACTGAAGTCTAAGTATCATGAAATTTAAAATTGAGTCTTTCATACCTTTCTTGATCAGTCACCTCAATTATTTATTTCACAGAACTTTCTGTAATTAAGTTTGTGTTCTGTTCAATTAATATGATCAAGGTCTCACTTACTCAATACAACTTGTATATGCTCAAGCCATTTATTTCAGTAAGTATAGAGACATTTACAGAAACACAATAAAGGAAGTGCCATAGTAATAATATAACATTAATGCTTTAAGTTTCCAAAATATGATGAACTATTGATATCATCTATATTTCACCTTTGGGTGAATTATTGACATATATCTAGTGTTCACTCAAAATCACTTATGGAGGACTAATATCATTCTTGTGGAATAGTGTTGTTACCTTTGGGTATACAACCCTAAACTACAAAAATATCCAAAACAGTATCATCCTACCCCATCACATAATTATTTGAAATATATTTTTCTTTGGGATTATCTAAATCTCATAATTATATGTGCCATCGTGAATATTATTTTATTTAATGTCATCTAGGATGAATTCCATAATGTATTTTATAGATTATTGGTCCAGGTCACTTTGGTGGCAACAGGACCAATACAAAAAAATAAAATACAGTCTAAAATATCCCATGAATGACATGAACTTTATTGTAATTCATACCCCATAAGTCTATCATCCTAGGCTACTTTGGTAGTTACCGGTCAGATAAAACTTAGGAAGATAAATTACAAATAATATTCACTAAATTTCTTTATCCTAATTCATACTATCATTATGAATATTATTTTTTATTTAATATCATTTAGAACTAATTTCATAATGTATTTTATAAATTACCAGTCCAGGTCACTTTGGTGGCTGCAGGACCAATACAAAAATATAAAATACAATCCAAAATGTCTTATAAATGATAAGACCTTTATTGTAATTCATATCACAAAAGTTTATCATCCAAGGCCACTTTGGCAGCTACAAGCCAGATAAAACTTAAGGAGATGAATTACAAATAATATTCATCAAATTTCTTTAATTTATGCTAAACAGTTCAATAATAGAATAACAACCACTATGCGTGAGGGCAGCCGCCGCCTTCACATGGGCTGCAGTCGTTGCCTTCCGCGGGCACGGCGTTCATAGGCGGTGCGGGATGCCCGTGGTGCCGCCACCGCTCGCAAGCGAACCTCTGCCTGCGACGACCGTGATGCGCGACTGCGGGGTGGTACACAGCCCTTCGTCGACAACGATCAATAGAGATGATCATCTCAATAACATTGATGATAGTAAACAGTAAATTCATCGATCAAACATAAAATTATACATTGCTCATAAACAGTAATAGAGCAAATCATATAGAAAGAAAACAGATCAATAATATCCGACGAATCATTCAGGCATCGTAAAGAACAATAATAGATCTAATATATTTGATCTCAAGAACTTGGCTCTGATACCAATTGTTAGAATAAAATCTGTAATCATGCTATCTGTAATGCGGAAAAACTTTTATGCCAAGATTGAAATCAAATAAATTGGATCTAACAATATTACGATGCGTACCTTTTTCTTGTTGTTCAGAAAAATAAACCTTATCTGATCTACAAGTACTTCATCTTCGGATCTGAAATATCAATCTGCAAGGATCTGCAAGGAGAACTAGATCCTAGATCCTTCTCCTCTCTTCCTATCTTTTCATAGGACCATCTAGATTGATGGATTAGGGGATTATGGAAGAGGGAGATTAAGAGAAAAACCAATCTCTCAATTGATGAGATGCTACTCAGATGCACTCTGATGCACTATTCAGATGCACACTTAACCCCTAGAGGTCCTATCTATCAGATGCCCCCTTAGCCCCTAGAGGTCCTGTCTATTTATAGGCGAGAGCAGAGAGTCTAGGATAAGTTATTAGGAGAGTTCCTCCCATCAAGGTTATCTCCTAAGGAATCCTACTTTAATATGGACTTCTTTTCTATTGGCTAATAACCATAATCAAAATCCAATAATATCTATAATATATCTTACCTAATTAAATAGGGCCACATAATCTAACACAAAGTTTAGAGAATTTTTCATACCCTGAACGATACCATTGAAGCGAGTTGATATATCAAAATGTTGAAGACTTGACTAAACCAACGAAACAAAATTATTTTGCCCGGAAATGGCAACAGATCAAGAAGAAAAGAGACAACTTACTTGCAGTGGAACCCAGAGCAGATTCGATGCTCCCACGCTGGACCTTCACGGGCTCTGCGCGTTGATACGAAGCTCAGAGAAGCGGAAGAGATACTCTCTTTGGTGGCCGAATAAAAAAATAAAAGAAATGGGGCTAAACAGCAGCAGGAGATTTCGCTACAGCCCTTTAGCATACGAGACTTGGGATACTGTATCTCCCCTTGTCTTCCCTCTTCTCTTTGGAGTTTGGAGCTTATCACTGCAATTAAACGAGCGAGTGAAAGCTGCAGAAAACGCCAAAAGTCACTGAACTCACAGGTACGGCCTCTTCGATTCGTCGAAACAGGGGTAAGGATCTCAGAGTTTTAGGGTTTTCTCCACCGAACGTCTCCAAGTTCACACCTTTCACGCGAACAACCCCCGACGGCTTTCAGCAACGCGTCAAGTGCCCTGAAAAATGAAATCATTCGGTTCAAAATGCTGGGACCTTTGGTCAGTTCACTCGGCTGCACACCTCCAAAATCCTCCGTGCTGCTTTAGTTAAGCCATAAAATCCTCAGAAAGCTTGGGAAATCTGAGAAGGAAAGTAGTAATGGGATCAATCAGTGGCTGTAACCGCAGCTGTATGAAGGCTATCAGACGATTCCTTTTGTTGTATTGGATTTGCTGGACCTTTGCATGTCGCTAGATATAGAAAGCGGTTCCAGATTCCAGCTTTGGGCTGTCCTCGTGGAGTCTGAACGTGGAAGCTACCATTTGTTCTACCCGTCAAAGAAGATGGGAGTAGGAAGACGAAGGAAGAGGAGCCCCGTCCGCTGTGTTTCCTGCTCCTCTCTAACGAACGAATGGGACGGCGCTATTACTCTACTCGGACCTGATGACGCCCTCCCTCTTTGGGTTATCAAGATGAATATTGATCGTGTTGAAAAAATATATTTAATTTAGTTTTCATCCCTCGCACTAATAAGAGACATAACAAAAAATACGCATGAAAATAAAAGATCTTATTAAAGAATATCACTTTCAAAATAAACATAAATCCAAAATCTAGATGCCTAGTAACTAATGCAATTTTTCAAGACGTTTCTTCTTTATGATATATATATATAATATGGGGATTTGTTATGAAAAATTAATTTTTTAGTTCATCGATCAACTCTCATTAGTCTTCGTCTCCTCTCCTCTCCTCGGATATTATGAAATTTTTTTGTGGAAAAATTTCTGGGGATCTCAACCATATGGTTGTTGCTATCACGTTAAACTTTGTAGCAATTGTAACAAGTTCATGATAGATGCTTTCATTGCATCACTAAGAGAAAGGAATACATCGTGTGCCTTGCTATTGAAAATATTGTTGTACATATGGAGTAGGTGGCATCACAAGACTTTAAGTTCGAATCTTATCTTTTAATTAAAAAATCTGCAACTAATAATTACATGAAAAACATAATGATGACATGATGTTTGATTTTTATAGAAAGAGATTATAATACTTCGATTTGATTAGTCTCACGTTAATGTGGTCTAAGACATCGATTAAAAATTTTAGATATTTACAGTGGTTTTTCGTTTTTTTTTTTTTTTGAAGTGATGAAAATAGTATATGATCCTAAGACCTTCTTAAGCCGATCTAACAACATCTTTTTTCAGTTAAGTTAGCTAACACATTCAAAAGATATATTAAATAGCACATTCAAAATATATGATGGATGAGATTTTTGGACTTTCAGCTTTTGATAAATTGATCCAGTATATTATTATTAGACTAATATTTTGGATGTGAAAAAATATTAGATAAAATCTTAAACGCTCAACATTTGAGCAATATGATTGATTGTAGTAATATAATTGATTTTGCATTTATTCGTACGTTCCTTGCCATCGCATGGAGTTTGAAATATCATTCACTGCATTATGTTTGCATCATCAATAAAGCGACATTATGCCACGGAATAGGAATAGTATCTAACTAAGAGGACAATTGGTTACTTGCGATGGAAATATATGCAGCCAACAGCTACAAAGCAAAAGACATGACGCAGTGATTAGTAGTAAATGAAGTTGTTTAGATGTCTCCATGTGTAATTATTAATTACTGTGTTGCATTTTAATGATGTTAAAATAGCAGATGTTGAGTCTTGCATTTTAATGATGAAATGAGTTCAACGAACTAATTTTATGAAAAGTTAGGTGATATAGATATATTTTGACAAAGTGTCTGGACCATTTGAATGACATGTTGGAAGATCCAAAGTAATGCTAAAGGCTTTGACACTATAATAAATGATTTGTTATGTTAAAAGATTTGACAGTGTGTCACATGTGAAAGAAAAAAAAATTGGAGATTTAAACAATGTGGACTAACTCATAAAAAAAATGACATGCTAGAAAAATTGACCACTTATCAAAAAACTCTATGGCATCTTTGAAAATGTTGCTATTTTGAAACTTTATTTGAATATAATTTAAACTGCAATTGAGTTTCAATTGAATTAAATTTGTTTATGTTTGTTTAGTTGAGGTCGAAGTGCATTTATTTAAGCTTTTATTGAGGGCAATCTATGGTTTGAGCGATGGTACCACCTGGCATGATGCTATTTCAAATATGTTGTTGATAGTATTGCTAATACCCTTGATTTTAAGTATTTATCATAATTTACTCTAAATTTGTTTGTACTCTTTATAGTAGTTACAATCGTTCCACTTTTAGAAGCATTAAAATTTTAGAAGCGTTAAAATTTTTTATTAAAGTTACTAAACTTATTTAACTTTCTAATTGAGCTACTAAGCTTAGAAGGTGTGAGAATATTTGTAAGATTTTGAGGATGTCAAGGTTCCTTCTAAGCCTTAAAAAAAAATATATATAAAAGATTATTAATTTCTATCCATCGAAAGAAACACGAAAGCCGATGACCTCAATAAAAAAGAAATCATGAATAAAAAAGAAATCACTATAAAATTAAAAAAGAAATCATGAATAAAGATATAAAGATATCTTTACTTGCTATTTTATTCATGCCTTTTTTTTTCTTAGTTGAATTAGATTTTAATACTTGTCACTTGTCTTTGATCAAAATTTTAAAATTTATTGAAATTTATAATAGCACTAATTCACCTACTCTTAGTATCATTCAAAATTCAACATAATATACAAAGTTCGGTAAAAAAAATTAAAAAATAATGATGGTACAAAATATTATATAGGAGGAGAGAGTGGCAAATGTGATTAGGCAACATATGGATGGAGGAGACAATCAAATCAAATTTCAATATACAACCCAACCTTTAATTGCAAGATTTCAATTTTAAAATCACCTATAACATGCTGCAATTTAGTTGTATATCCATGTGTTGTAAATGACTTGTAATTAAATATTATAATTAAATAAGGTTCTAGCTAACTTAGTTAATAAAGATTTTAATAGTTAATAAAATCTTGAGCTTAAATTAGTACTCAAGATATTTATTTGTGTCTCAAGTGTAATTATTACTATATATGAGGGTATATTTAGAAAAAAAAAATTAGGATATTTTAGTTCGTATTTTCCCAGAATACAATCTTTCTTCTTGTGGGAAGAAACTCTTAGAATCTTCAGATCGAAACAATATTTCATCCCTGGATCGATAATAAAGGATCCAGATTGTATTGAGGATGATCAATTATAGGTAAGCATCATGATCTTTTTATAATTTCTTAATTCATTATCAAATTGCTTTGGGTTTTGAACATCTTGATCTCTCCTTATTTTGTTTTTGTAATCTTAATGATATTATGTTGGGACAGATTGAGAGAGAGAAAAATTGAAAAAAAAAAAGGGGGATTATGATCATGGATTGCCGCGGTTTGCAGCAAGCCATCCGAGTTCGCTCGGTTGAAGTGCATAGGAAAGTGGTGAAAAAGAAGAAAATAAGGAAGGAAAAAAAAAAAAAAAGAAAGGAGAGAAAGAAGGATTGACGTGAGCCCGTGAGAGGAAAGACAGGAAAATAAAAAAATTATGTCAACCATTTTGTTGTAGCAGGTGACAGAAGTGATCTTAGAGGTGGACATTGGAAGAAGAAAAAAAAAAAAAAAAAAGATGGAGAATGAAACAAGAAAACTAAAGAAAAAAGAAAAAGGTACGTGAATTAAAATTAAAAGATATTAATAGGTTTTGTTTAAAATTAAAAAAAAAATTTATATATGGTTGTGAATTCTTGGCATTCCCAACTAATCGGGAAGTAGATAAGATTAAAGATAATTAATCCATAAACACTAATTCACCATATTATTATCGTCACGGTCCTTATAATTGGTATTAGAGTCACGTTTCTCTTTATTTGGTTTAACACTTAAAGAGATGACTTTGTTTAGTTTTCAAGAGGGTCTTTCTATCATTTGTCTTCCTATGTTCAATAGGACGGACTACACATATTAGAAAACTCAAATGAAAATTTTCTTGCTCTCTATAAATTTTAATTTATGGAATATTATTGAACTTGGCTTTCAAAAATCTTCTAAACCAATAAATGAATGAAATGATTTAGAGAAGAAGATTTTTTCTTTGAATGCTAGAGCTATGAATGCTCTATTTTGTACTTTGGATAAAAATGAGTTTAATCGTATTTCGACTTGTGAAACTGCACATGACATTTGGCATTCGCTTGAAGTCATACACGAAGGCATAAGTAGGGTTAAATATTCTAAATTAATCTTTTGATACATAGTTTTAAATTGTTTGGAATGTAACTAAGCAAAACCATTAGAGACATGTATACCCATTTTATGGATGTTGTCAATAGTTTAAAAGTACTTGGTAAAAGTTTTTCTAACCTTGAACTTATAAATAAAATACTAAGATCCCTTCTAAAAAATTGAAATCTAATATAACGGCAATATAAGAAGTGAAAGATCTAAATAATTTTTTACTTGAAGAATTTATTGGGTCTTTAATGAACTATAAAATAATTTGTATTAAATATAATCAACATAAAAATTATCTTCTAAAGAATATGAAGGATTTGACACTTCGAACAATAGAAGATCACTCGAGCGAAAGCTTAAGTGATGATGACATAGAACTTTTGACAAAAAAATTTAAAAAGTTCATAAAAAAGACTAATTCTAAAAATAAACTTAAAAATGACACAACAACTTACTATAAATCGAGGAAGCTACAAAAAAAAAAAAAAACATTCAAGGCAACATGGGACGAATCGAGTACATTCGAAGATAAGGAGCAAATCATCAAAGGCGAGATAGTGAACTATGCTTTAATGGCTTTCGACGATGAGGTAAATGACTCAATCGAATCTCATTTATCTTACAACAAATTGATTAATACTTTCTATGATTTATTTGATAAATGTAAGCTAGTTGGTAAAAAATATAAGTTGTTAAAAAAGGACCATACTTCTCTTGCTAATGAATTTAAAAAATTAAAAAATGAGCATGATAATTACATATTAACTCCTTACACTAAGTGTGAAGAGTTAGACTCATTTAAAAAGAAAATTTTATTTTTACAATAAACGTTAGAAAATTTTAAAATTGGTAGAAAATCTTTAAACATAATTCTTACCGATAAGAGTCACGTTCGTATAATTTTTATACGATTACCAAGAAGGAATCAGCTTTGTAAATAATACTCAACAAAAGCCAACCATTTTTGTTAAAGGACCCACATTATATGTTTCTATAATCTTTATAGTAGACATGGTCATTTTGCATTTAAATATCCATTCAAAAAGTATAACTCACATAAATTGATTTGGGTTCCTAAATGAACCATTAATGTCTTAATGCCAAAAATTAAAATAGATAGATCCAACCATGAGAGACCCAAAGCTAAATGGGTACCTAGAACAAATATACCCTTCT